ATAAGATGAAGGTCCCATTTATAGGTCATGTCCTAATTATGGATCGAACTTGTAAAATTAAATGTTTTATATAATAAAATGTATATTAACAAGTTACGGAATTCTTTTGCATTTTTTACTTTTTTTAGTATTATTGTAATATAAAATCACTTTTACAATCCTTATATATTGAAGAAAAAAAAGCGAAGCGTTACCTCAATTAATTATTTTTTTTTAATAATTTCTTAAAATTATAATATTCTTATAATTGATCTGTATAAGTTAAAGTAGTGCATTTTTCTATTATTGGTAATAAAATTATTTTATATTAAAGTAATTGTACACAAAATAATCTATTGACTCATTATATTAATATTTCTACATAAACATCTTTGTTAAATATTTATTTAATTTTTTATTAAATATTTACAATTTTCATTAAATATTTTCAAAATTCACCATTGGTTTATTGATCATAAAATTATTTTTTAAACTTGATATTTACTGATTGATTAATAACCTTTTACTGAGTAATTAATAACCTTTTAATTACCTGTTAAATTTACACGAATTGTAATAAAAATCATTTTAACTTTAAATTGTCATAATTGAGACCGTCACTTAATTCTATTTCTACAACTTTATTATAGGATGATTTTGTACAATATATAATTTTTTATTTACTTTACGTTTAATTTATTGCATATTTGTATCATTAAGCCTATTCAACAATTGCGTAAGCGTAGTCATAAGAATTGACACACATTCATCATTGAATCACAATCGAATATTCTTCTAGTCTGCTACTGTGATTGATGAATTTTTACAACTACAATTATTGTACTTACAACTACGTTTACGCAATTGTAAAATCGCCAAAAGATACGCATCATTTAAGAGTACGCATTAAGTTTTATGATGCAATTATATTAGATCGCAGTAGCTGTAATTCACATGGAACGTGCTTTTTTTAGTTAATCAGTTTGTGTACAAAAACTATTGTTGAAGCGGTAAAAGTGATTAATAAATCTTGAATTTTGACTATTTTTTTATTTTATTTGTTACCAAGAAATAGATCGGTTTTTATATTAAATTATTGCTTTATGATTCTGTATCATTTATGTGTACATATAATATATGGTACTGCATATATTCTGTATTTAGTGATATATTTTACTTAATATCTATAACAGTTTATGTATAATTATATTGTATTAAAAACAAAAAATAAAGGACTAAAAAAATATACGCATTTGAAAACTTTATTCAGCTTGAAAAAAACATTGATGCTGTAGATGATGATAACAATAATACAACTTACAATACATTATAACGGTTTGAATTCTAAATCCGGTTAAAAATTAGATCTAGTGACAAAGCTGCTGGTTCTAAATCCATACTTATATCGATTGCTCTGGAACTGTCAGTCGAAAACTTATTTATGTGAACTCTGCAAATAAAAAATACTTTAGGAATTTTTAAAGATATATATACTCAAAAAAATATTCTGTCGTTTAACAATTTCGCGTTAATGTCAGAGAATTTTTCATTTATATATGACCTCAAGATGATACTCTACAAAGTAAAGAAATTTCGTATAATCATAAAGTTCTGGATTTAAAATTATAATTCTCTTAATGTTAGAAGAATATCGTGCATGTGTGTGTACTATGCACGTGTAGCTATAATAGAGTAGCATGTAAATGAGAGAAACCTCTTCTAACAAATAAACGTGCCGTTAATATCTTGGATACCTTCTTGGTTCAAATTATTATAATATTCTATTCAAATTATTATAATAAAATTTTCTATAAAGGAATTTATTTTTGATCATAGCTCAAATGATCAATCCTCATTTTTATAAATAAATATTATAAATTTATGCACCTGATTCATGTAAGATTTTTTGCTCAAAGAAAATGCTAAGAGGAATTTTCCGCTTATCGATAGAATATTTTTTGGGAGTATATTTGATAAGAAAAACATGTTTTTTTTATTTTAATTCTTCGTAGTTACACTTCTTAAAAGTTCCGTAATGATCACACTGGGATTAAAATGATCCGGTACGCATTAAACCGATTACTGTATTCAGTTTTCGTTCTATGAAACAAATTACTGGTTAAGGGCGCTCTGGGATTATTTTGACCCCATATGTGGCGGCTGTTTGAGTGTCTTGCCTGAAAAGAAAAAAACTCGTTCATCTGATGATTCCAAAAGGCTCGATGACCGCATACAGCCGCTAGATATATAATATATGGCTTTTGGTTGAAAGAATTTTGTAAGAAGATTTTTAGCTCTAGTGCTGCTGATTATAGTGTCAATCTCTTGAGAAACAATATCTTTAACTGTTTCATCTTTCCATACTCTTTATTCCTGGAAATCGATGCCCTTCTTCCTGTAGCAGCACACACTTTCTATGTATTTGCTTTAGGTCCGCAATCGATGTAACACTCGCGTACTTACATCCCTCCCCCCCCACACACACACGTTTTTTGAAAATTCAGCTAAGAAAAATACGGTTCTTTTGAAAAACTGTAAACATATGGTATCGAATGTATTTGAAACAATTTGTGTCTACTTTTTGCCTATTTTTGTGGATCATATGCAATAATGTGTAGATGAGTTGACGCTGGGACTATTCGGGATACAGAACGCTAAGGTTATTCGGGACACCGAAAATGTTACGATCTCAAATAATAACTTACAAACTAAAATCCATTAAAAATGTATACTTAACAGATGTAATAATACGAAATGAATGAAAAGTGATCTATAGCTTGAACATAATCAAAAATAATTTTTTGTAATTTATAAGTTAATACTTGAGATTATCGTAGCATTGTGACTTTTTTATTAATATTTAACTTGTGTGTCCCGAGTCAAGGGCTATTCGGAACACTTCGCACTGGTCGACATTCTTATCCAGATAGCAAAATGTCCACAATTTTCTAGCAGACTGTTAGCAGATTCGAGCAGAAAATGACGGTAATCTGCCATCAACTGCATCCGCATTAGACTTGTATTCTGTTAACATCGCCTGACATTATCTGACGCTAGACTATTAGCAAAAACGATGCAGATCCCGCTGTGATACGACAGAATCTATTGGGTTTCTGTCACCAATCTGTCAAATTGTGTCAGAGTATGATCTGCGTCGTTTCTGCTGACAGTCTAGTGCTAGGTGATGTCGACAGGATCTGCTTGGTTTCTTTAGACAATATACTATCAGATTATACCACAAATCTGCTCTGTTTCTTTTTCCAGTTTATCAACAATATTATGTACATCTAATTCCATAATAATTTTGTTGTTATTTTGTTGGCATAGTGTGTAGCAGACGTTTAAAAAATCTGCTTTCTACAGACTTGGCTATCTGGATTGTATGTAGTTCAAAGTAAGCATAATTTCGTGTTTAATCTATAACATTGTGAAGGATAGCATTGTGAAGGATAAGCATTGTGAAGGATAAGGTTTAATCTTTCAAATCGTTTAATGAATTTTTTTTTATGACTACAGGACCCAAGACGTAAAAAAAAGTGTCCAGAATAACCCTGGTCTCTTTTACTTTGCTTTATAATAATTTTCTATTATTTAAAAACAATTTATGGAGTAAATGAAATACGAAATAATTATTTCACAGTAAAATAATTGCTCAATATATTATCTATTTATTACAAGTGCAAAATACATTCAATATTTGTGATTTTAATATTTAACCTGTTTAAAAAGAGACAATGCATTTGTGTTATGTAATACTAATAAAAATTATGGTTAGTGCATATACAAAGTGCTTTATAACATTGCTTTTACGATGTCGGTAATAGAACTTATCCTTTCTGTAAAAAAATTAAATCACTTATATACTCTAGGAACTCTAGAAATTAATAAATTGTACTAAATATTTATTATAGAACAATGTTTAATATTAAAAAATTATATTCATAACTTACGTGATTCGTATTTTATTTTCTTTTTTTACTTTTTATTTGGGAATACCTAGAATATTTAGTATATTTTCTATGTTATCTGTGTTAATACCTAGGTTCTGCAATAATGACTGCAACATTCAAAAGAAGTTATATATATAAAATATAATAATAAAAAATAAAATTTTTATTTAATTTTATTGGTATGTATTCTATTACAGGGGTATGATATAAATTGCACAATTTTATTCGCTTATTCATTTTATAACGTTTAATTTAAAATATATTAGTTCTAATAAATAGTTACTACTATTTTATAATAATTAAAATTATTTTAATCTTCTAAAGTTTTATGATATTAATTTTAATTTTTATATTCATGCTGAAAAATATAAATCTTAATTATAGCCATCTAAAAAAGTAGCTTTCATTACATACAAAAATCATGAATTTTCTTAAATAAATTTTGTCGTGTGACATGATTGTATAATGTAACAAAACATTTTATTTTTATTTAAACTCTTTTATCCCCTTTTAAATTTAGATATATATTTCTTGCATTTTAATATAATAAATATAATTTCTTGATGTAATTTTTATTTATAATTTTTACCTGCAGAAATTCGATCACATTCTCTAACAATTTCGAATCTAACATCCGTGATCCTTGTATTTCTGATAATGTTGTTTTTGTTGATTCTGATGATGATCCTGTATCATCATATTTAGAGGTCCTTTCATTCCTTCCATTAAGAGTCTAATTAAACAAAAGGTAAAAGATTGAATTAGAAGAAGTTTATTAATAAAGAAAGAGGTGATACTATTGTCACCTATTTATATACATTGTCGCTTTTT